TTTTTCAAATTCTTTAAATATCTTTTGATAACTACTTATAAATCCAATATGGTATTTTTTTGACATTAAAACTTTAGTGACAAATTGTCGGCTTCGTTTCCACTTATGAAAATTATTATTAAATACTATTCCATTTGCTATTCCAACCTCATCAAAAGCGGCCATGCCACGTTTAGAAAACTTTGATTCTTTAGATAAACTCTTTGACTCATTATACGATAAATAGATTTTATCAACATATTTCGCGTTACCGGGAACTATAAGGGCCAGCATAAAATTCCCAAATATCTATAGATACGTTTAAATTCTTTTCTTCCCATTTACGTGGTTCTAATCCGATTTGAAGGAGTGTACCAATAAATGGTAATGGAAATGGTCCAGGGAGAGGATTCGGACGAGTAAAATAGGCATAATAATAGTATGCAATATATAACAAAAGAATTATTCCGACATAAAATAAGAGTTTCATTATTTCGACGATTAAAAATTAAAGACTTTAAAGTTTATTCAAATATTATTTATAATTTTTAGTTTCGTATTAATCTGTTACACAGTTTGCATTCGTTTTTCAGCACATATCTTGATCTCACATTATTGGTGTTTGCGCAGATGGAGTCGCGAAGCAGCATACCTACATGCATATTTTTTTCAAATGATTATCGTGAATAGAGGTGCGAACTGAAACTCAAAAGGGAAACTGCAACAATATCATTTGATGATTAGTTATTATTTTAATTTCCTTATTGAATTTCAGTTTGTACCGGTACCCCTAATTGTTGAAATCTATACTGTACTAGTGAAATAGAAACTGCTTTTTTGAATATTACGAGGAAAATTTTTTTGACGATCTTATGTATGAGCATAGTACTACATAAGCACACATGACAAACTTATTACACAGAATGACTATATTTGGTAAAAAAAAAGATCGGGCGAAATTGAATACATTATTAACTAATTAATGTCTGAACTTTTTTAGAATTATATTTATATGAATTTTCAGAGATAGCTTAGCAATTTTATATCAAAAAATCAATGTTAAAACACTTTTGCCATCTTCTTTATTGCATTTTTTATCTCTTGAATATCGCTATCAGGTCTTTTCTCTACATGAGATATTTTTAAGACCTCCATTGCCTTTGCCAAATTATCGATTTCAGTTTTAGTGCTTTCATTCATTCTTTTTATTAGGGTCTTATTTACTCTTTGTATATCAAACTTATTTTTCTTTTCATACTTCTCAATTTTCACAGCCAGGCTTGTTGCCTCTTTGTAATCAGCTGGATATTGTCCTTCTACTTTCAATCAATACTCTTTTTTTAGTCCAGCTATAAACCTCTTTTGTTTTTCTCTATCTCACACATTATTTTTTACCGCATGGGCATTTGATTCGAATTGGTTGGAATATCCAACTACAGATTCGTTGTCTTCTTGTTTCATTCTCATTAATCTTGTGACCTTTTCTTTTATGTGAAACTTCATTTTCGTGGCCTTTTTCATTTTGGTTTTTAGGTCCCTCCAAGTATTTGTCTTTTTCATCAACTCTTGTATCCATACTCTCACTTTGTCAGCAACATGGAGCCCAATGACCTTCTTCTTCCTGTGATTATCTTATTGTTTTGATTTAGCATACATTTTGAAGTTGAAGAAGAAATCCTCTATATCTTCATCTTCATATTTGTGATAAAATGGTTTGGTGAAGTCTTGAGTTGACATGGTTGATCTTTTCATAAAAGGTTTGATCTTATGTTCAGTTTGTTTTATTGTTTCTTATTTATTTACTAAATGTTTTCTTATTTAATGTATCTTATTTAGAATGTTTCTTAATTAAATATTTCATATTATAATGTTTCTTATTTAAATGTTTTTTGTTTAAATGTTTCTTAATTAAAATGTTTTTTAGTAAAATTTTCCTTATTTAAAATGTTTCTTAAGTCTTTTGACTATTTCATTCGATCTTTCTCTGTCAAAGAGTTAGACAATTACCGAAATGACTGCTATCTACCTCAGATGGCTATAACTTTATTTTAGGAATCGCTTGGCACTTGAGACACACACTATACAACACACACCACACTTCGAGTCATGTAAGTATTTACTTTACAATATGTTTACTTTATTTCCAGTCAAAGAGACTAATGAATTTTTTTTATTTTCTTTTTCTATTTATTTGATTTTAACAATTACATACTCTATACCACCCTTTAACTATTTTTCTTTGTTATTAATTTAATAAACTTCCTCATTATCTCTAATTTATTGTCATCATTGTGCATTAGCGATCACGATACCTATTATATCTGATCTTTCCTGTGCTGCCCCACACTTCGATTTACTGCCATGACCCTGATCAATCACATGATCACATGAGTTATTCAATTGATACTTTTGTTCCACTCTTCTACTTTTTAATTCATTACTTAATTCATTTTCTATTTGCATATCTTTTACTAGATATAAGTGTTCTTCAAAAACTATGTGACAGTAAGTTTTATAAAAAATTATTCAAAATAAAAAATCATAATAATTTAAATGCAAACTAACTTAAACTTAATTGCATATTATAATTATTGTAAATTCTGTAAGAAGATTTTGTTTACAATAACTCATAATAAAAATCTAATTTAAAATAATTTAACTAGAACAGTTAGTTTTGTAACAAAATTTTTTTAGTAATTTACAAATAAATATTAATCTTATTACAAACTAGGCCTCAGATAAATATTTAGGTTTACTTAGATATATGTTTGAGTTCTTTTTCTTAGTTTTAAATTTAAGAGTTAAAACCTTTTCTAACCATGTAAAGAGTTTTTGTTAAATTTAATAAAGATAAGAGCAATGTTTTACCTTTAATATTAAAAAAAAAAAATTTATAATTATGTATTTAATCTCAAATATCTTGGGATTCACCAGGCTGATTTTGATAATCTAACTACTATTAGAACAGAAAACACTTTTCTACAACTTTACTTAGAAATAAAAAAAATATTTACTTAAAGTTAGAGTTAGAGTAATATTAAAATTTAAAGTTATAGTTATGAGTTTTTTTTATATTATTATTTAAAAATAAAAAATCATAGTTGAAATAGCAAAAATCTATAGTGAAAATAGTAATTTTTTTATAAATAATTATAGTAAAAAAAAATTAATATATTCTATATTCTATAATAAAATTATTTTATTTATTATTATAATTAGGTCATACAAATTTAATTACTTAGTTTTCATAACATGAAATTTAAAAATAGACTGGCTGCCAGCTTTTTTTTTAAAATTTCATATATAAAATTTTATAAAATTTATATAAATTTTTTTTTAAAACCCACCTGGTTATTAAAACATATAAAAATTTTTTTTAGAAGTTTTTAAATTTTGACCAGCTGGGTTATGAAAACTAATTAATTAATTTTGCATAGCCATATATATAGATATATTTTTTTAAAACTATATACTTAAATTTTTAAAATTACAATTTAAAATATTAATTAAAGGGTACTGCTATTTGCACCATTATAATTCATGTATATTACTTCGATTGTATCATATTTTATTTACCTCATGCTTTTTGTTTACAAATTTTAATAACTTTAAATAAAAATATCTTAATAACTTCTTGATCAAATTTAATAATTTTTTTTTATTTGAATTCTATGAAATTATAGAATTCAAATAAAAAAAAAATTTATTAAATTTGTTATTTGTTCAAGTGGTTGCAGAGATATCTTAGATCAAAGATTTTGAGAATTTTCTAAATGCCTACTACATAATAGATTTATTCAAAAATTTATTAAAACTTTGACCAAGAATATCTCTGCAACCACTTGATCAAATTTAATGAATTATTTTTTATTTGAATTCTGTGAATTCATAAAATCTTAATAAAAAAATTCATTAAATTTGATCAAGTGGTTGTGGAGATATCTTTGATCAAAAATTTTGAGAATTTTCAAAATACCTATCGTATAATAGATTTATTCAAAATTTTGCCAAAACTTTAACCAAGAATATCTCTGCAACCACTTAATCAAATTTAATGAAATTTTTTTTTTTGACTTCTATGAATTCATAGAATCTAAATAAACAAATTTTTATTAAATTTGATCAAGTAGTTGTGGAGATATCTTTGATCAAAGATTTTGAAAATTTTCAAAACACCTATCATATGATAGATTTGTTCAAAATTTTGCTAAAACTTTGACCAAGAATAACTCTGCAACCACTTGATCAAATTTAATGAATTTTTTTTTATTTGAATTCTGTGAATTCATAAAATCTAAATAAAAAAATTCATTAAATTTGATCAAGTGGTTGTGAAGATATCTTTGATCAAAAATTTTAAGAATTTTTAAAATGCCTGATTTATTCAAAATTTTGCTAAAACTTTGACCAAGAATATCTCTGCAACCACTTAATCAAATTTAATGAAATTTTTTTTTTTGACTTCTATGAATTCATAAAATCTAAATAAACAAATTTCATTAAATTTGATCAAGTAGTTGTGGAGACAAGACATCTTTGATCAAAGATTTTGAAAATTTTTAAAACACCTATCACATGATAGATTTGTTCAAAATTTTGCTAAAACTTTGACCAAGAATATCTCTGCAACCACTTGATCAAATTTAATGAAATTTTTTTATTTGAATTCTGAGAATTCAAAAAATTTAAATAAAAAATTTTATTAAATTTGATCAAGTGGTTGTCGAGATATCCTTGGTCAAAGATTTTGAGAATTTTTAAAACACCTGTCACATGATAGATTTGTTCAAAATTTTGCCAAAGCTTGATTAAGAATATCTCTGCAACCACTTAATCAAATTTAATAAATTTTTTTTTATTTGAATTCTATAGATCTATAGAATTTAATTAAAAAAATTTTGCTAAATTTGATTAAGTGATTGTTAATATATTCTTGATTAGATTTATTAAAATTTGTAAACAAAATATTATAGTGTAAATAGAATATAATATAATTGAGATAATCTGCATAGTGTAAGTAGCAATAATCATGGTGTGAATAGCAGTATCCTAATTAAAAACAAATAAATTTTAAATAACTTTAATATAAATGCTTCATACAAAATACTATATATATATATATACTATTTAAAAAAAAAATTATTATTATTTTTTTTTTTTTTTAAGGTGAGGCCTTGCTTATATCTTTATTGGGTAATTTATATAAGTAGTTATATAATATTTTATGAAAAGACTTAATTTGTATA